GGGCGGTAAGTGTGTGTGTGTGTGGGGGGGTGCTGACCCCCGGTGGGCTTCGCGGGAAAGTTGCAACGGGCGGGGGGGGGGGTTCCGTTATTTTCAGGCCCCCGGGGGCCGCCGGGCTCGCGAGCTCACGGACGCCGAAGCACTTTCGGGGCCGGGGTTTAGCTGCCAGAGGCCGGTCGCGCTACTTTCTTGGGGGGGGGGGTTGTAATGAAACGTCACACTCAAGTAAGCGCCTTAGGGGGATGGCGCGGTGAGGCTGCTTTTGCCCAAGTGCTCCCAGTTTTAAAAAATGTGGCGGATCATACCGATGTGACAGCAGGTGCAAGCGTGCCTGTGAGCATCTTAGCTTTGCTCCCAAGCGTGCATATTTCGCCTTAGTATGAAGTTCTCAGTTTTGTATGAAAAGTTGGCTTCCTTGATCTTACCGAATGGGCTAGGCGTCCAATCTGAGTCATTAGATTAACGCAAATGTCCTTGAAATCGGCAAAGCTTCCTGTGACAGAATGACAAGGGACGAACAACTTGATGGTTGCTGATCTTTACTTGCAATCTCTTGTTGCTATATGTTGTCAGGTTGCTGTTAGGCGGTTTTGTGGTTGCTGAGATGCCCAAAGATGGTTTACCATCGCTTCCCAATCAGTGGGGACCTTAACTCTGGTATCCTGTGTATTAGTCCAGCATTCTATCCACTGCATCATATTGGATTGTACTTTTGAAATCAACATGTATAAATCTTCTCTCAGAAAATATTGTGTATGTAGATTTTTGCAGTGCTTCTAAATTTCAGGAAACTGGTGGCAAATAGTAGAAAAGTAACTGACTCGTGCTTCTTTGCACTATGCTGGCAAACCTATTAGAAATCTCATTAACATTGCTTGCTGTTCATAATAATCTAGCCTGCTCTCTTGTCTGTACCCTGTTAACTATGAATGGCTTGATTTCTTTAAAGATGGCAAGCTGAACTGTAAACCATGGTGAGGGGAGGAAGGTCAAAGGCTAGGAAACGAGTTTTCTGTAGGAAAACTGATAGGAAAGTAACAATGCTTTGCATGCGTACATCCTTTCCAAAAAAGCAACTGCATCCTCTTTGAGCTGACCGCCTGGCGGTCCAATGTGTTTTAACTCTTCACTGAGCCTTCCAAACACAAAACAATGCTGTCATCGGGAAGCCAGTGCAATAGCTTTGCTTCTCTTGCTTCACCAAAACGAACCAGCTTTCGGAAGAATGTTGATGTAGCTGCCAGCACTGCAGTACAAAAAGTCATACAAAGTTTCTCTTCTTAAATGTGTCTTCATTGTAATGTTATACATTTGTTGGGATGTATTTACACGCCGGCTTGGTGAATGCTTGTGTCTTTGATAATGCAGATACCTACAGAACTGTGTGTGTGTTTTGTGTACGGAAGGGTGTGTTAGTTTTAGCAGACATTAACTGCCCCCTTACAAGGGTCTCCATAACTCCTCTACAAGGAGAAAGATGGGGTTATAAATTAAAGAAAGAAATATAAAAAATTAATGCTGTTATGTCATTAAATCAATGTCGTGCTGATGTATATTATTAGAAGTCAGGAGTTAATGAAAAAAGACATAGGCATGAGTATAACAGTTATCACTACTATTAAGCATATCTGAAAGAGTTTTTAAATGCAGAAGCAGCCACATTGGCCTTCTAGCAAAATGCCAGAATCCATACTGGGTTATACCTTTATTAAGGCAATTAAAAGGCATTGAAGATGTGCAGGTTTTTGAGATTAATGATCTCTTCGGCAGCAAAGATATATATCTGGAAGGGAGGTATAAAGGAATCCCAGCAGAGGAGTGGAAACTATGTCTATGGCTGCAATCAGATTGAGGACCTAACTCACTACTTATTACTCTGTCCTCTCTATGAAAACCCCAGAGAAAGATTTTTGTCTCCCCTTATTCAACGGTATCCCAACTATACGTCAATGGAAGTAAGACTGCTCGCTGATACACAGCTGTATATTACATACTCTGTTGCACAGTTTGCTCTTGCAGCTAAGAAGTTGAGGCTTCGATTTGTTAAGGTTCATAGTATTACATAAATGCTGAATATAGTGACTTTGATATTATACACTATGCCACCATTCCCAGAATGGGTTTATTGACCCCTGCGGCATCCTTGTTTTAACCGTTTTTATCTAAGTCTGCCTTTGTAAAGGCCTACGGCCAGAAACAAAAAAGTACAATGTGTGATATTACAAAAATTATGAACTGTCATCATCCAGTAGACCTTTCAGATATGTTTAGGTATTTATCTATGTATAACATAAGTGGCTGCTTTCTTGTCCCCTCCCAACTTCCTGAACACCAGACTCTCCTTGCCCTATCAATGGTCCATCTTACGTCACTTAGGAAACAAACACTTCATAGTATACAGCTGAGACTGAGGTCTGGTAATCAGGGAACAAGTAACGATCCTGCTATATTTGCAGCTGTTACAAGCTCTTTCTTTGTTACTTCTGGCCATTGGCTGCAACCTAAGCATCACTAGAAATATCTGTATTTGAAAAGACTGGTTTTGAGGTGGGCAGTTCATGGCTAATTTCAAAAGCCACTTGCAACTACTGTAAGCATTCCAGACTTCTGGCAAGAGTGATAAATCCCTCCCTCAGCTAGGCAGAGAGGGAGAATAAAAGGGGCAACAGAGAAAAAGTGGCATAGTCTTGCTTAGTGCTGTTTTTTTGACCCATGATAGCTTCTCTAACAGAGCCTCATGATGCATTGGTTAAGCTGCAGTACTGCGGTCAAGACTCTGCTCATGACTTGAGTTCAATCCCGGCGGGCTCAGATAGCTGGCTCAGACTTGATTCAGCCTTCCATCCTTCTGAGATTCCTGGGGGTGGCAATGTGTAGCCTGCATAATTGTAAACCACTAAGAGAGTGATTTAAGCTCTGTGGGGTGGTAAATAGGCAGCACACTTTTTCTTTCCTTCTTTTTCTTTCTTCCCTCCCTCCCTTCCTTCTTTCCTTCTTTCTTTTTTGCTTTGTTTTGTCGCAAAGCACTTACAGATTTCAGTTTCGCTTGAGTGCAGCTGCTCCAATAAATGAATATGATTTGTTGCAAGGGACATGGTGGCGCTGTGGGCTAATCCGCAGAAGCCTGTGCTGCAGGGTCAAAAGACCAGCAGTCGTAAGATCGAATCCACGCGATGGAGTGAGCTCCTGTCGCTTGTCCCAGCTCCCGCCAACCTAGTGATTTGAAAGCATGCAAATGCAAGTAGATCCATAGGGACCACGCTGGCTCTATGGCAGTGGTTCTTAACCTTTTTGAAAGAAATGCCCCCTTGAGCCATTGAGGAAGTTATCATCGCCCCCTCCCCACGGTGATGATATCTATCTATCTATCTATCTATCTATCTATCTATCTATCTATCTATCTATCTATCTATCTATCTATCTATCTATCTATCTATCTATCTATCTATCTATCTATCTATCTA